TGGTTTTGGTTCAGTTGGGACACCCCATTTACCTATTTTATGATCCATTCAAGTGCACTCACTCATCCTCCGTTATACCTAATCATCCGCCATTGTCAAAAAGAGCCTTTGTTTGCATCCGTAAAGGAGTATCACATGCAACCACCTTGAAAATTTGCCCTCCCATCACATTCTTGTCTCCCACCTTCTTTTTGACCTTCACTCTCCCTCATTGCCTATATAGAATGATCAAATCGTAAGAGAGAGAGAGAGAGAGAGGCGATACCACGAAATTGAAGAGAAAATAGTGAGAAAATGGTGAAAAAAGAGAGAAAAAATTGAGTTTTTGAGCCAAAAATACTCCTATCTTCCATATACACTCTATACCTTCCATACAAATTGAAATTCCATATTTCCTACACCCAAAACTTCTCCAAAAATTGTAAAATAGCTAAATTTTAGTAGTGATTGATCAAAGAAAAGGGTGAGTGTTGTTGAAAGTAAAGAGTGAGTGTTGTTGAAAGTGAGAAAAAAATAAGAGAGTTAGCCACTTTTCTACCATACATACCCAGAGTTCCATTCTAGTTTCAAATTGAGGATCGAGAACACACTTCCTAAATTTGAGAGTGATCAAGAGGAAGTTCAGAAATCAAGAAGTTCAATCTTTCTTTGGAAGGTGAATTTCTAGTTTTTCATTTTTTTATATTTTCTATCTCATGTTTATTTTCTTGCTTCTTATTTCATAGTGTTTTGTTATAATCCAAGTGATTTGTTTATCTCCTATTTATTTTCTTACTTTATATTTCATAGTGTGTTGTTGTAATCTAAGTCGTTTGTTTAGCTCATAATTAATTATTTATTTTTATTCATTTGCTTTAATTTAATATTAGTTTTGTTGTAATCCTACATGTTCTACCTCATATTTGCTTTCTTGTTTTAAGTTCATGTTGTAATCTTGCATGTTCTATCTTATATTTGCTTTCTTGTTTTAGTTTCATAGTACTTATGTTATAATCTTGCATTTCCTAACTTATACTTTTCTTGTATTAGTCTCATATTAGTTTTGTTGTAATCTTGCATGTTCTACCTCATATTTGCTTTCTTGTTGTAAGTTCATGTTGTAATCTTGCATGTTCTATCTTATTTTTGTTTTCTTGTTTTATTTTCATAATAATCATGTTGTAATCTTGCATTTCCTAACTTATATTTTTCTTGTATTAGTCTCATATTAGTTTTGTTATAATCTTGTATGTCCCACCTTATATTTGTTTTCTTGTTTTAGGTTCATGTTAGTTTTGTTGTAAGTTTGCACTTTTTTATTTTATATTTATTTTCTTGTTTTTAATCTAACCGGTAGTGGTTAGTTGAGCCACCTACATATTTCTTATTTGTTCATTTTCTTGGTTTCGCAATAAGGCAAGTTTTGCTAGTCCTAGTTGGCCGACCAGTTAGCTTCTTTTGGACAAGACGGCGTTGTCCTCCGATGTTAACCAACTTCTGGTGGTTTCCAAGGCACATGAAACTTTTTTCCTTTTGTTTATTTTATTTTGAATGTATTGTGAGGTTTTTATTTTGTTGTAATATTCTCCTCACCCCCCTCTAATTTGGTTTGTAATAATTTATTTAAAATGTTGTAACAATTTCCCGCCCCACTTCTTTCTATCCCGTTCTTTTACTTGCTTTCCTTATTTCTAAATATGCACCATGTTTATTTTATTTTATTTTTTGTTGTTATATCCATACTTTGCATCTATGTTTCATACATCTTGATTCGGCTAAGTTTGCATTTGTGGATTTAATCAATTCTTATGGATTATGTGCGCTATCTCGTATTCTTGAGATGATTCACATGTCATATCTTAGAAACCAAATCTTTAGTTGCATCTCATGAGTGAATTGCATTAGGATTTTGTATATAAGATTATGCATGTTTTACTAACTTTATTTTGTAGCTGTTCGAGGGACGTCGGTAAATATGTAAGTTTTTATGCTTTAGCATCCTGTTTGTGTATATTTTTCTTATTATGTTTAAGTATTCTACCATATGGCTACTTGCTTACTTGATATAACTGTATGAATGCTAGTGGATGGAGGTTGTGTCGTTTAATTTGGAATAATGTTGATTTTCATATTTGTAAACTCAATTTATTTGGGTTGTACATCTCCAAAATTCTTTCAAAACTACATGAAATCAAATTATTCCAAAATAAATGACATAATCTATACTTGTATGCTTTACATAGTAATTTTTAGGACTTATTAAATAATCGAAATATGAACATATAAAATAAATAAAATTCATATATCATGGTATAGTAAAAGCTGATTTTTTGATCGGGTGAGTGGGGGTGCTCAATTAATGACCCTCCCTTCTCATACCTAAGGTTCCGAACTGAGACAACTTTGGTCATGACGAACAGTGGCCTTGGCACGAGTCATGGGTTTCTTAATTTCTCAAAAATATTAGGTGACGACTCTGAGATCTGATGACGCAGTCCATTTCTGGCAAAAGGTTTTGCAATAAAATGGATTTTCTAAAAGTTGTCAAATCTAGACTCTCATCTATGTTTCAAATTACACTAGTGAGACTAGACCAAAGAGACAGAGGGTCCGAACTGTTTAACACGCACGGGTACCCCCAGGCATGTTACATGTAGTTTGTATTTAGTTTTGTAGACTTTTAATTGCTTTGGGTACTATTGTATAACTTATATTTTTATGCAAATATTATTTTATCAAATTATGTGTTCACTGGTCATTAATATATGTTATACAAATGATTTTTATGCTTGTATAATAAAATTATTAGATGAGTCATACCTAGTAAGACGGAGTAGTGCATCAACTTTAGTTTAGTTGTGGCGATCAATGCTAAGCGAAGATGATTCGTGATTTTCTAATTTTAAAATACAAATCTTTTTAAGTGATTTGTCCTAACCAAGACACATCGTAGTACCCATCTCAATAATTTTCCAATCTAAATATGAACAACTCCCAATTATAAGATTAGTAGTAGATTCTAAGCATAAGGTTTTTCTTTTATTATTTTACATCCTCTAGTCAAAAATCTTCAAATTAATGTCAACTTTCATAATTTTTGTGGTTCGACATCCGTTCTCAACCACTGTACTTCGGAGTAGTGGTTATTACTTAGTTTTAATTAATATATTTTTGTGTGCAAACGACCATATCAAATTTTTGATGCCGTTGCTGGGGATTACTAGTAAGTTGTTTAATTTAGAAATTTCAATTAGTTTTTCTTATTTCTAACCTTTTTCTGTATAGCTTTCAATTGTTCATGCATGTGAATTTGAAAATAAATAAATAAAATTTTGAGTTTGGTTTCTTTTGCAGAAATAATAATAATAATAAAAAAAACAAAAACAAAATTTTGATACTGTGACACAGAAAAGAGATACCCATACTGAACATATAATTTGTGGACTATTTACCTTTGCTAGACCCTTGTGGATTAATTACCACTGCTAGACATATAACTTGGAGGACAAATAAAGACTAGTGATTACTAACTTCTGACTACTAACATTTATTTATTTAATTTTATGTTTTTTTTTCTGTACATTTATTTTCTTTTTTAGGGAGGTCTTATACCCCCTTTTATTTTATCACACTTTAATTTATTATATTTTTAGACTACCGCCTACTTGGCTGGTTTATGTGTGTTTTTGTACATTAAAAAAGAAAAAGAAAAAGAAAAAGAAGTAAGTGTGTTGTATGCATAGTCGTCGTTCTTGTCATTCAAAATTGGTGTACATCCCTGATCTAGAGCAGACCCTTAAAAATTTTCAGAAATCTAAACCGACTTTAGCAATGGCTGAAGCATTAAAAGATTAACCTAGACCACTGAAGGGATGCTTCACACCTACTGTCAATGTGTCAACATCTTCCATTCAATTGACGACGCATCCCATTATGAGATTAGGCCCACCATCATTCAAATGCTTCTATCCTTCCATAGGCTTAGTAACGAAGATCCTTACAAGCATCCTAGTGAGTTTCAGAAACCTATTCTACAATGAAATTCCAAAATGTCACTGATGAAGCCTTTTAGGTTGAGACTTTTTCCATTTTCACTTAAGAATAAGGCCAAGCACTAGCCACAATCCTTACCAGCAAACAATATCACAACCTGGAGCCAAATGAGGCAAAAATTCTTGGACAATTTAATTTAAGAAATAGAGGACGTGCAAAATATATAGTTTAGTACATATCAAAATTTCATTTATATAAAAAATTTAAAAAAAAAAGAAAAGAAAAAGAAAGAAGAGGAAAAGAACACTAATTCCTAAAATTTAAAATTTAAAAGATGGATTCATAGTTTTAAATTTTTTTATGTACACTTTTACATAAAGTTGACCTCATTAACTAGCAATAATTGAACCCACCACAATATACAGATGAAGAATTATTATATATCATATATATAAATATCTAAGTGGCTACTCTTGTATTTTAAATTAGAAATTAAAATGTTTTTCAAATTATGCATAGTATTGTCAAATTACTCCTAAAATGATAAGTAATATCAAAACATACATCAAGATAAGAACGACTATTATATATCATATATATAAATATCTAAGTTGCGAATCTTTTATTTTCAAACTAGAAATTAAAATATTTTTCCAATCACTGCACAGTATTGACAGATTGCCCCTAAAATGATAAGTAATATCAAAACATACATGTAGATATGGATTGACAAATTGCTCCGGGAAGAGTAAGCAATATCAAAAGATAAATGGAGATGGGAGAAGAGAATTTAATAAAATAAAATAAAAAAATTTGCACGACGCATATATGCTACATATAGTGCATCCACTTTCATACAACATGTCCAAATTCATGGTGGAGAGTCCCGAACTTAGATTAAATTAATAGGGCAACACGACACATGTAAACAGACATAATAATACTACGTGTTTATACTTGGACTTGAATAGGAAACCCACCTAATGTATGAGTCCAAAGTCCATTTTTTCCCTATGTAAACCACTTTTTCACGAAAAGGGTGCCATCTTCTTCATTTCAATTGGCTCAATCAAGACAACAAAGCCCTTTCCATGTTGTTTCCAGTAGTCTGCTTGTGGATTGATCCATTCTGGTTCTTCAATCTCCACTCTTGACATCTTCAGATCATCAACTGAGATCCTGTACTTCCAATCCCTCTTCTCAACCAAGTGTGGCCTTACCTTGCCCAAGTTCATAGGTTGTGGGGACATCATCAATGAAGGTGGACCTAGAGGAAACCTATCACGAGTCCAGATCCTCTGCAAGCTTTTCCTGCAATCCTTTCCTGCAGTGTCCCAAAACGATGTCGTTTTGGGGCAAAACTTTAAAAAAACAAACAAACTGCATCAGGAGATAAAGCACAACCAAAACAAAAGCCCATTGTTGGCCACCTCCCCCAGCAGCTCCGGCGACCCCCAATCCCTTCAACGATCCTCCCCCAATCGTTCTCCTCTTTCGGCGGTCCTCCCCAGCCGCACCTCCCCCTCCTTCCTTTTCCTCTTCCTTTCTTTCTTTCTTTTCCTTCTAGATCTAGACAAACATAGAGAAGATATATATATATGTATATATCAAAACAAACAAATATACAAACGATTTGACCAAAAAAAAAATTTGAAATCACAGAAGTGGGTTTAGTTGAGAGTAAAAAAGAGCTGAGTTTGCTTTATATGGTGGCTACAATTAAAAAGTGGGTTTAATGTGGGTTTGCTTTGTGGGTTTAGAAGTTAGAGAGAGAAGTGGGTTTAATCAGAGAAGTGAAATCACATATATTGAGTAACGAAAGGGAAGAAAATTAAAATATTGCACATTAATGATGAAGAGGACAATATTCTATTTCATGACCATGAATTTTTAGGCGATTTTCTTGAAAGTGCCTAAACTTTTGTAACTTAATTTCTTGAAATGTAAACATTCCAATATGAATTTTTTGTGTGGAAAGATCTGAAAATTTTAGGCCATTTTCTGTAAATGTTTTGGGAAAAGATTGTCCACAGGGGTATCAGCTTTTAGTTTATTGATACCAAATTTGTGGCATTCTTGTTGTGGCACACTAAGGGAAGCTCTCCTTGCTTAAAGGTTATGGCTCCAGAGTCCAGACTTGACTGTTTTTCTCTGTGTCTACAGCAAGCTCATGCTTCCTTTCCATTTATTCGTGTTCCAAAAGTTCTTCAGCATTTAAGTCGAAGGACAGTTTTGACTATGGAGTGGATGGTTGGTGATAGTCCAAGAGATTTAATTGACATATCTGCTACAGAGTCTATTGATCATGGGTCCAGCTATTCAAAGCAGCAGCAGATTGATGCTAAAAGACGTCTTCTTGATAGTTTTTAGAGAAGAAGAAGGAGGAGGGGGAATAATTATTTCATGGAAGTTGGAATTTGTGACAAGATCTACAAGACTATACAAGATATTGCAATTACAAACATAGGGAAGGATGGTGATTTGCATCATCATCAACTACAAAGATTATCTCTAAACATTGTAGGTGTGAATCGAAATCAAATTATCAATAAGATGTATGTGTGAAATTAAAAGAACTGAGAGAAATCTGGAAGGAAGAAGATGAAAATCTCTCTGTAAACCAGAAGAGAGAAGACAATGGAGGGTTTATCTGCTGCTGCTGGTTATATTTTTTTTTAAGGTTTTCCCCAAATCGACGTCGTTTTGGGGCACTACAGGAAACGATTGCAGGAAATAATTGCAGAGGACCTGGACTCGCCTATCACCTACACTCACCCACAAATCATGATTTATTCTTGCTAAATTATAAGAGCATTCATTCATAGTTTTTTTTTCCCCGAAGGAAGAGCTCGGGAAGAGACAAAGAAATATTCTAATGGCACAATATTGACCATGTGTTTACTGAAAAAATTTTAAAAAAAAATTAGGACTCGGCTCTTATAACAAAATAAATCTTCAAATTTTAATTTTATCAATTTAAATTTTAATCTTTTAATTTTTTATTTTTTTTTTCAATCTAAACATCTAAAACCGATAAAAAAAAATAATGTTTTAATTATTAAAATCAATATAAGTGTACATAAATAATTTAAATTGAAAACAAATTAAATTTTATTTTAATGACTAAACCCTAGTCATTGAACTCAATTTTAATGACTAAAATACTATTTTTTCTGTCGATTTTTATGTAAATAGTTTAGATTGAAAACAAAATAAAAAATTAAGGTTTAAAAAAAAAAAAAAAAAAAACTGGAGTTTTTTTTGTTAAATTATTTTGTTACAAAATTCAAACTTTGAGGCTTTTTTTTTAATTTTTTTTAATTTTATAATCACAACTTGAAATTAAAACCAAATCATAATAATAATCCCTATATTTTGAACATTGTGTCATTTTTGTCCATGTTACTTTAATTGACTTGATTTTAACACTAAATTTTAATTCATGTTTCCATTGGATCCAATAAAATTGCTATTAATGTTTTTTTTCGAACAAAAGTGGCACACATACATCCCAGGTGGCTAATTCTGTAAACAAAAATCATCCATTGAAATAAGTCTATGATCCCCACTTTATCTATTCCGAATATACCCCGAATGAAAATGTATAATTAAGATTAAATTTGTGTAATATAAAATCCATGATAGAATAAATTTGAATCACAATATAATAATTCGAAATAGTTAACTATATTTTTGTAATATTACTATTTGAATGTTTCTCTCACCAACATCACAACTATCCTCTCCCTCCTCTCAAGAATGCTCCTCACTCGCCAACACCAAAAACCACCATTAAAAAAAAAAAAAAAAAAACTCTTTCCACCTCTCACCCGCCTCCAAACCCCACACTGGCAACCACTGCTTCTATAAAACCCCTTCCAAAAGCCCATCCATCACCTCCATGAACCCACTACAACCAACAACTAGCCATTCCCTCCTCCATCATCTCTTGGCCAATTCCTCCATTCCTATCTTCCCCCCAATTTTCTCTCTCCAAAAACCCACAATTACAGATAAATCACAAAACCCAATACCCCTTGTAACATCACCCAAATATTTAAAAGACAATAAATCATCATCAATTCCAATATTTAAGACCAAGACTCGAGAACAATGTCGTGTATTACAATCATCAATTAAAGAGGGATTTTCAAGAGTCATCGCCTCATAGTAAATTTTGAGAATCATCTATTGTAGTGGTCACATCCCTCCACTCTCCCCTGTCTCATTCCTCCCATCTTCTCCTGATCACATCCCTCTCTCCTCTCCTATCGTCACATCTCTCCCACCCTCTTTCTCCGGTAGCATCACTCTCCTTCCCTTGTTGCATTTTTTCCCTTCCTTCACCCCTTTTGCCATCATCCTCACCTCCCCCAACACCCTGCGATTTACTTTCTTCTCTCCGTCTCTCAATGGCTTCGTTTGGGAAGCGAAGTTTGGGGCTTCTTTGACTATTTTAGTCATAAAAAATAAAATAAGTCTTTTAGCATAATAAAACAAAAATCATATCCAACTCATAATCATTACATTCTTCCTCTTACAAAAAATAAAAAATCATTCCCAAACGAGACTTTTTAGCCCTAAACTAAAATAACCAAAAAAATCAAAAAGGTAACCCGCTTCCCAGACTAACCCTATGTATCATCTCTCTCTATGTATATATGATTTATTAAAAAATTGTTATTATTTCAGTGAGTTAACTCGCCCATTTAGTGACACGTAAAAGTGAGATATTTAGTGATACATAGTTAAACTCGCTCATTTAGATGATAATTAGACAAATTTACAATTTTTTCCACGAGAGAATGTCGTGCTACGCTCATGTTCTGCTTCAATTAAAAAAAATCAATTGTCATCATCAAAATTGGACCAATTAAAGACAAAAACTAAAATTTAGAGTTAAAATTGAGTCAATTAAAACAACACATACTAAAAATTGATACAATGAGCAAAATATCGAGACTAGTGTAATTTTTCCTAAGATTAAGAGCAATCTTGATGAAATGAAGTGTTTTGTTCAAGTTAAAAATTCCAATTCAACCATCTCATTTTTTTACAAAAACATTGTATAATAATATTACTCGATCTTGTTAATCTGATAGTCAAATCATCGAAGAGAGAGAGAGAGATCCAAATTTCTCATCCACTTACCTCTATCAACTTGCCAGGTGCACCAAAATTTACCATAAGCTTTGGTGAGATTTTCAAGTTCGGGCTTTAGAACCAGCTCTGGGACCTGAGGATTCACCCAAAGGCCTGATTTGATCTGAACCAGCAATACTCACATTACTTGACAATAATGTTATATATCTAATTTACTAAAGTAGATGCATAACTAGAATATATGTTTTTCAAAAAAGAAAAGATGAAGAAAAAAAATTGGAGTTGGTGCAGACCTCATATGCATGGCAGTGCCAAAGCTTCTGCTCATCAGGTGGTAATGTTTCAAATATACGGTCTGTTATTATGTATTCAACCCCTGTACAAAAAATTATCAATGAGAATACAATACCTTAATAGCATTAGGTGAAACGATTTATGTTGGACAATCTTCACTGTATTTAAAAGATTTAATTCTATTGTGTATACAATAACAATTAGAATTTAAAGAAATAAAGAAAAAGAGAGAATTTGTTTGATTACAAAAATCAAACTCGAAATAAAAATAAATAAATAAAAACAAATTTTATTTTGTCACAAAAACAAAATTTAAATATAATTTTAATAAATAAAAACAACAATGAAAATAAATTAAATAACTTACTTGATTTAATTTGTTCGAATTATTTTCTGATCAAGTCCAGTGTTTGACACTGTGTCCTTAAGACAGCAGATAGAATACAAATTAACATACATACTTAGTCAATTCAGTTCCAGTTTTTAATCAGTCAGTTCAGTACTTTAATCAGTTCAATTAGCAGTCATAATCAGTTCAGTTCAATGGTAATCAGTGTTCATTCGGTAAGCAGTGGTGAGGGTTATTACAGATGTGAAATACGAAATTTCTGAATGAATAACATCAAATGAGGGTGGTCCTATTTATAAATGTAAAGGTGGCTCTTGGTTTTAAATTGAACAGGTATGATACCTGTTGGTTTTGAATTCAAACAGATTTGAATCTGTTAATAATTCAAACAGATTTGAATCTGTTAGCAAAAAAGGGGAAGGGCTCTGTTTGGATGAGCAATAAATCCAAACCAGTTTAATTCTGTTTGAAAACGAGAAGGGCCCTGTTTGGATGAACAATAAATCCAAACCAATTTAATTTGAATTCTGGATTTTATTTTAATAAAAAATTAAATTAAATTCAAATGTTTTTTACCCAAAAAGATAGGTATTGGGCCAGACAAGCCCAACCTCACACCACGCACCCGCGCCCAAGTCCAGCCCAGCCCAGCCCGCCCGACCGGACGGACGGACGGCGGCGCGTGCACGCGCGTATGTGGTGATTTTTGGGTCAAATGGGTCTAGCCCATAACCTCCCTCTCTAAAACACTTGGATACCCCTTAGGGCACACCCCAAGTTCCAATCTCATGCCTTATAAACTCATTCAAAACTTCCCACCAAATCAATATGGGACAAGCCTTATTTAAACCTTTAAGGATTTTTTTACCAAAACTCCATTTCCATGGAGCATACTTTGGCTTCAATTTCTATTCACCCGGTAATGGTTTTGAGCAACCAAATATACCACGTGAATCACAACGCGGCATAGAACGCGTTACCACTTTGACCCGAGTAAATCGACACTCGGGGCCCTTGACTCATTTTGTATCCTAATTGTATATAACAATTAAAAAAATAGAATTTTTTCCTATAAAATAAAATACATTAAGTTGAGTAATAAATTGTTCCAATTTGGTAATAATATAAATGAAACTACCACATCATTTTGGTACAAAATTCTATATAAATATTCTAGTGGAATAGTATTTTCCTATGGTTTAATTCTATTTCATGGAAGTGATCTTTTACCTTGATGCATGTTTTAGGTCTTCTTGGTGAATTGCTTGTAACATGTTGAAATCCAATTTGGCAAGCTCAAGCAACTTGGCATTCATGTCCAATCTCCTCTCATATGCATCAATGAACCACCTTGCCTCCATTCTTGGCATTGCCCAATGTAATGGGAGCTCCAAGGCATGACTCACAAGCATGCCAAGATTTGCTCTCTTTCTTGAGCCATTCTTTGATATGTTTAGCTGTGAAATCTCTAGCTTCTTCCAATATACTTTCATCCTCCATTAAGAGATATGAAGCTTCATACAATGAAAGAAGTCCCTTAGTATCCTCACATAAAGACTTGTTGAAGTTCCCAAACTTGTCCCTGAAACTATTAAAAACCTCTGCAAGCAAGGAAGTGTTTGTAATCAGTATTTCAATTTGTATAGAAATTGATCATTGAACCTAGAATTTTTCTTACTTTTTTTTAATTAGTAATTGCACAGATATAAGCAGCAACGTTGAAGTTTTTAAAAATCGTTAACCATGAAACAAAATACATTGAGATTGTAGAGCTTGATTAGGATTGTATACTTTACCACAACCATTCATGGATCAAGGGGTGTAAATTTGACCCGGTCCGACCCGGCTCATGTTGGGCTTTGCGAGCTCCCGCCAAAATTCAGGCCGAGTCAGGTTGGCTCATGAACCAAAAAATAAGTCCCTGGCCCAGGCTTAAGGGTATTCGGGCCTCGAGCGGGCCGACCTGGTGGGCTTGGGCTTGGCCTTGGGCTTGATTATTTTTTTTTTGTTTTTTTAAATTTTTTCTACCAAAATTTTATTATCTTCTATTAAAAAAGACACTGGGTCTCGGGCGAGCCTGGTGGGCCGGGTTTTGAGCTGGGCCTTGAGTGGGTCTTAAATGAGCTGATGGGCTGGGCCACGAGTTGGACCAGATGGGTCAAGCCCACATGCTAGGCCGGACTTTAAAATGATGGCCCAAGCCCTAGCCCAAGGGCTCGGGCTGGGCTAGGGCCTGGGCTCAAACGGGCCAAGCCCATCCCAGGCCGCGGGCAGACTTTGGAACGCTTACGGGCCGTGAACCATTTTTACACTCCTACATGGATGTAACTAAAGTTATTATAATAATTTATTGACATAAACCTGACACACACATATATATAATTTATTAGTATTGTATTGTATACTTTACCACACAAACATTCACGGATCCAACTAAAACTATTACAATAATTTATTGACGTCAACCTAATAATTTATTAGCCTTTAAAATTTGTGTGTGTGTTTTTTTTTTCCTTCATGTTTCAAATTTTTTTTCAACTTACTCCAAAAGTTAATTTATTCATAAAATTAGATAAAAAATGACACATTAATAATCATGTGCATAATTTTTTTTATTATATATAGTAATCTAATAGTTTGATTTTCATGATATCTAAAATATTATAAGATAAATTGTAATTTTTTAATATACATAATTTACTACAATTTAACACAAAATATGAAAATGAATTTTATCAGATTAATACAACTTGCACCAATTGAAAAATATTTAAGTCCACTATACATCTCGTGTATATATATATTAATTATATATATATATATTATATAATATAATAATAAAAGGAAAAGATGGGGAAAACCAAGGTTTTAAAATTTAATGAATAATGTTTGACAGTTTTAATTTGAGAGTTTTAATACAACTTTAATGATGTGAAGGTAAGGCCCACAATTCTCTCTATCTCTATATACTCTTTTTCTTTTTCACTTTACTAGAGTTTCATTTAAAACTCTAATATTAGAATTATATTTCAAATCTATTTCCATCTTACTATTTTTCCTTTCCCTTTTAGCAGTACTTTCCTTTTTGGGGACAAAACCACGTTGTGGGTTGAATATCATTTCAAATTTACTTCCATCTTATTATTTTGTTTGGTTTTAATTTTTAAAAAATACTTTTCAATTTTTTTTTTA